CTCGCCGGTTGAGTCGGCGCCGTGGGATCAGTGAACATTCACCACGACGCCGCCCGGAAGGCACTTACCCCTAAATGAGCCGAGTAACTGAATTACAGATACGTAATCTTAGGTACATGAAGGCTGTAGACTGTTATAGATTATTACACATGATTTAGCTTATTTAATGACGATTATAGACGTAGTAAAGAACCAAAATTACCGATTATACGCGATGGAATTTGAAACAGCTCCGACTGTTGTGGCGGTCGAGCTGGGAGTGACCGTAGTACGAAACAAAATGAGAAAGCGAAGGAAGATGGAACAATTCAAATTTAAAATTTAAATACAAGCAAAAGAAAAAATGATAGGATACAAGCGGAGAGAGGCGATACAAAAAGGTGAGATGACAGTGTAAGGAGGTCACACCGTCACAGTCTTGTGCCAATTCTGATCACTAAGGCACATTCAGCTCCTCCACCCATAGATTACGCCATATGATTCTTTTTATTTTAGCTTTTAATATGGCCAAGGTGAAAACTTGTCTATCTATAGGTAAAGTGTGATTTTATTTGAAACAAATTTTACATAAATAAAATTTACATAAAGCACTTTTGTAATGCTTTGTTTGTAAGCATATAATAAAAAATTGAATATACTGTAGTTTTGTTTCTTGACTAACTAACACTGAATGTCTATGTTAAGCCATACAAAATTAGAAAGTAATTTACACGGTCGTTAGCGGCAATTGTAATATCATGGTAGAGGCACAGTTTTTTTTATATATTTACTATTTTATCTTTTAAAGACCTCCGTGGCCGAACGGTTACCATGCGGGTAACCGTTCGGTCCCAGCTTCGATTCCTGGGCCTGGAGAAATATTTGTATAGCCTTAATTTATTTGTCTCGTGTGTGGGCGTAATTTGTGGTTGTCCATGCGTGTGTCCATGAGACCTGGCATCCTCAATACAAAATTTTCCTAATACAGGGCTATAATTGTGTGCATTATTATTATTAATAAAACTGTTTCTTTGCCGTAGCGCCATCTGTGAGAAACTTATGAAGGTTTCTTCACTCAGTAAGATACTTTTACAGCTACCAGAAAACTGACAGAGATGTCGCTGTATTAATTGCAATATTTATTTAATATCATGTTTTGTCGTTCAATATCATGGTAGAAAAAAATCAAGATATTCAATAAAGTGAATAAAACGGTCTCGATTTTTTCCGTTTTTTTTATAACATTAAGTGACAGGACGAACAAGCGGTGCGCCTGATGGTAAGCTACACGCCTGTCCACAACAGTTACAGTGCCACTCAGAGCTTTAAATTGCAAAGTTTTAAGGGACACTGCCACTACGCCCGTCACCCTGTGACGTAAGTTGACAAGTCCTACGGAACGAGCTGAGGTTCATCATCAACCTGGCATGGGTCTCCTTTCAGGCGAGGGTGTAGTCTGTAGTCTCCGCGCTGGCCCAATGTGGGGACGTTTTCCAACGGCTGTGTAATTTCTCGACGTGCAGGTTTCATAACGATGTTTTCCTCCACCGATAAGCTTAAATTCCAAATTAACTGCATCCGTGGCCGAATGGTTACCGTGCTGGACTGCCACGCAGAGGTCCTGGGTTCGATTCCCAGGCCGGGAGAAATACTCGTATGTCTACATTTATTTCTCTCGTGAGTTTGGGTGTAAATTTGTGGTTGTCTATGCGTGTATCCATGGCACCCGCGACACAGGGTTTCCCTAGTGCGGGGCTATGTTGAGTGTGTGCGTTATTATTACTAATTTCCCACCCTTAGAGGTGACATATTATTTTCGAATTTGAAACGGACAACTACTGAGGTACCTCCTTCCGAACAAAAATAAATCATCAATAAAAAGAGGAAAAGAAAGGCTGTAACAAATAATAAAGTGATATAAAAAAGGTACAATTATTATTAAAACTAAAAAAATACCCAGTTTCTATTGTTAACATATAATAGTTGTAGATGTGTCCATTAATAACCTCGGTACTGAGTACCCCCCAGAGAAGTCCCGTAGGTTTCCCTAATGCGGGGCTATGAGTGTGTTGCGTTATTATTATTATAAATTTCGCACATAAATTACGAGAAACTCACAGGTGCGAGACCGGATTAGAACCCATGACCTCTTGAGAGGCGGTAGGCCAAACTTTCTTTTGCATAATACCAAGTGACGGGACGAACAAGTGCGCCGTGCGCCTGGTGGTACGCGACAAGCCTGTCCATAACAGTTGGAGTGCCACTAAGAGCTTTTAATCACAAACATCTTAGGAGCACTCCTTTCTTAGTCGTTCTGAGACATAAGTTGACAAGTGTAATTTCACCAGCACCCTTACTCTTTAAAACCATAACACAGTAATGCTAGCTTTACTGCTTGGCGACAGAAATAGGTAAGGTGGCAGTTATAGATATAGCTTTTTTCGTATGTACTGCTGTTAAAACTGAAACTATTTACTCTACCATGGCTTTGTCCGGTCAGTATACTATAATAAAAAAAACTGTACCCTATGATTGAGCCTACTCTATTGAACGGTCATTGTGTCACCAATTGTGTCCCCTTCGTGTTTCAATTTGCTGCACCACATTGAGTTTGATTTCCACAGAACCACCAGTCATTAGCAGTGATTTAAAAAAAATACATTTTGGTGCGTTAACAATAGAATCGTTCACGTTATTAGACGTGGATTTGGCGCGTTCACTTTTTGGTGAGTTTTTTCACGTGCATAATAAAATTATTAATTTATTTTTGTTCATAAAATATGACTTTTGAATTGTAAATGTTTTTATAATCCGCCCGTCATCCTGAGACATGAGTTGACAAGTCCCGTGTGCCTGTAATTTCACCGGCACCCTTACCCTTCAAAACCGGAACACAGTAATGCTGACATTACTGCTTGGCGGCAAAAATAGAAAATGTTATTTGAAATTATCACTAGTTTTTATGTATTTGAACCATCTGCTTTATTATTATTATTGTTTATTTGTTTATTGAGCATTGGTTATAGAGCCATCAGCTTTAAAACAGGTAACAAATAATTATGAAACTCAAAAAGTAATAATACTTTGAAACTAAATATTAATGAAATCCCGCCATTTTTTTTTTCAATATGACAATCTGCATTCATTATTTAAAAAAAGTCGAAGTATTTCTTCCTTCTTTACAATTTAAAATATTACAATGTTTTTTTCGATCATTTATCTGTCTAATTGACTCAATAGTATGTCTTTCTGAGAAAAAATAAAATAAATTAAAAAAAAAACAAAAAATTATTTCCAAAATATATTTTATCCGTTCTTTCATATTATTTACGTACACAGTACTGGCAAAAACCAGTTCCAACCGCAATGCAATTGTATCAAATACATCATACTTTAAATCAACTATAAACATGGCCATACACACCAATTCTATGCTACATTACTATAGAGTCGACATTTCTTTGACAATTATCAATTCTTGCCTACACTGTCGCATTTAATCAAAATTCACTCATACGTCTTTAGCTTAAAGTTTCGTTATCGCTTCACAACGCGATGATATTTCAATTTCTCGCATTTAACCCTTCAGTCGTTGAAATACGGACATTATTGTATAGTAAGAAGGCACATAGTGCTTTGTTAAGGATTAATTTATGTAGTTAAAGCCAATTTATGAAATAAATTATCTTCCGTATTTCTTTTTAAAATTTTGCGTTTTGTTAAAGCTCGTACCTACGTAAGTCGTGTGATTGGGCATTGGATAGAGAATGCGAAAGCATTTCGACTCATCCGTAGAACAAAGATCTATGTGCAAGACTACTTGTTTTCAGGACATAGTACATTTCGTTCGTTCTTCTTCGCTGTGGACGTCAGATCGATCGTTGTTCGATTTTATATTTCCGAAACGAAATAAGATATATAAATTTGCAAAACACCTTTACATAGGTCTTAGTTTGAATAACGAAATTATTATCGTAACGTACTTATTCTCTTTTTGCTAATAATCACATCGGACTTTGTTCTTCGGATGAGTCGATTTATTACCGTCTTGTGAGCTAGCCTGACGTTTAGCTGAGTAATCTTCAATTCTATATATTTTATGACTTACGTTTTGATTAAATATAACATTCACAGTGCCACTCAGAGCTTTAATTTGCAAAGACCTGAAGGGCACTCCCATTGCGCCGCCACCCTAAGACAAATTGACAAGTCCCATGTGCCTGTAATTTCACCAGCACGCCTACCCTTCGACGGAACACAGTAATAAGTAAAGCTAACAATACGGCTTGGCGTCAAAAATAGGTAAGGAGTCGGTACTTCCCTGAACGAATTCTTTTACAAGAAACTCTACTGCTACTTGACTTGTTCAACTAGTTCATGCAATAGCTTATTATAAAAAAAAACTATCCAAATTTTTATTCAATTATTTTTTTGTGAAATTACTCCACTGTTATCATTATTAATACAAAGATCGAAGACTATGCTAGAGGATGTCGTCGGTTCGAATCCGGCCGGATCGAAGGAATTTTTTCGGAGTGTCGATCTTTGTATTAATAATTACAACAAGCCGTATCCAGTCAGAAAGGTGTAGCGTGAGCCAAAACGAGACAAATGTGATATGGGATGACATGTTTGTCATCAATTGTACAAGGACCCATTCTAGTACCTAAATTCTTAACAATAGTTCTGGGAACGACTGAACACAATTTCCTGCTCCGTACAATGAAGCTATAGTTACGTCACGGTTCAATCGATGCCATGTCATTTTTTTTCTTACATACCTATTACACCAAGAAATTCATTTCAAAATATTCGAGATGCCCATATCGGGAACAGAATCTGATTCCATTACAAAACCAACAATATCCTAGTGTTCTGTAAGTATGTGATACGTGTCACCATTTCGCATGGGTCTTAAAGAGAGCGAAGGTTGTTACAGTGATCAAACCGGGGTTGATTTTTTTTACTCAGAAGAATTTACAGAAATCCTGAAAATAACATGTAGCTTTTTTCTATTTCAGACTATCAACCAAAGTGCCTTAAGAAACAGAGACGACGAATATCCCAAACCCACAAGAGCGAGTGAGACAGCTGTATTTCTACCTCTGATAAATGGAAATTCTGCACTGTGACGTCATTAAGCCTGTAATGAAGAAGCAATTTGGAACTGTTAAGGGAGATATTTGACTAGAAAGAAATAAACGTTCTGGTGGTACTCGGCTTAAATTGTTGAATGGTACGTATGAAACAATAGTTATTTACAATAATTATAAGTAAACCGACCTCAAAAGTTCGTTATTTCATTTATTTGCTAAGTTTTATTGAAATTGGATACCGGAAAGTGAGCAAAAGCGGATCCATTCCCAAGTTTGCCACACTTAGGGTCGTATTCCAGAACTCTACTCAATACTCAAGTGACTTGCGTATTGCAGTGAGCACTGAAAATCATACTCAACTCCTTGCCATTAGGGTCGTATTTCCAGTGCTTGAAATCATACTCAAGTCCTGACTTGAGCATTGAGTAGAGTTCTGGAATACGACAATAGAGGTGGAATACTTACTTCAAATTTAAATAAAACTAATACTGAGGTGCCCTCTGTTCCCCAAAAAACAGAATCATCAAAATCCGTTCACAAATCGAGTAACCGCGTTACGTACTAAAAAAAATACAGTCGAATTATGAGAATCTCCTCTTACAACATACAACAACTCTGACGCTTTAGAGCGCTACCACACGGGCGCTTTGATGATTTCAACGCATCGAGTGCCACTCTCGGTGTTACATGGGCCCATGAGTCGAAAATATGTTTTGTTATCTGAAAAGTTACAATTTCTACAATTTTATTAATACAAAAAACGCACACTAAGAAAACATTCCTTCGATCCGGCTGGATTCGAACCAACGTCTTACAGCAAACCGTGCTAGACGCTTTGCCAACTAAACCACGGCACGAACCAACGGACTTTACGAATTTTCTCTATGCGCTTGTTGCAAATCTTTGTTTTTGGCTTTTAATAACTTTTTTGCCGTTGAGCCATCTATGATTTCACTTAGCCAGGTACTTACGACTTTTAGCGTACACAAACGCGCGATTGTACCGACACAAACGCGCGATTGCATCGATGCAAACGCGTGGCTGCATAACTATATATGTTTAAACATCTATATAGTCGTCATCTGTAAAATGTCGTTGAAAACCAAATACAAAAATACGATGCAAGCACATAGAAAAATTCGTGAGGTCCGCTGGTTCGTTCCGTGGCTTAGTTGGTATAGCGTCTGGCACTGTATGCTAGAAGACTGTCGGTTCGAATCCGGCCGGATCGAAAAATTTTTTTCTGAGTGTTCGATCTTTGTATTAATAATTATAACATTTGTATAGGATTATGCACATTGTTTTGTTTTGTTAATTGTAAATTTAAAAGTGAAATTAATAAACACATTTAATAGAATAAATAAATAGTTATTTATTTGAAA